TAAATTTTTTTATGTAGACTAATTTTAAAAGTACGAGGTAAGCAGGAAAGCATAAGCAGCGTGGAGATGTTGGCATGGCAGATATGGGGGGGGGGAAGGAACCTAGTTCCTCATGAAGCCAAATTTATACTGTCTAGGTGCATACGTGAATCTAAGCCATGCTTGGTTAACTTTAGTTTTAGTTACCTTTTTCAAGCAGCGTTATGCAATTTGGAAAGATCTCGAATTTGGGAGAAAGGATGAACTTGGGGGGGGGGAGAGCACCAAATCTAGAAATTTTGAGGTCGCCAATTATTTCTTAAAGCAACCATCGTATTTTATTATACATATATAATGCAATAATCCAAAACTTCTCAAATTTAGTGTTTAAAATATGTATATGATTGAGATTAACATATTACATTTATAAGCATTAAAAATATTCATGGAATTATACCAAATGCAATAAGATCATTATGAAGATGAGCTCTCGTTGTGAAATAGTTAAATGTATTAGTCTTAGTACTCCATTTTACATTTAGTTCCCTTTCATTCATTTCATTTTACTGAGGGTTTTTTTTTTTTTTTTTTTTAATCACTTTTCATATGAAAGGATAAAGGATGCTGCCACCAAATGTTACCACTCTGTTATTTTTTTAAAAAATAATGTAGCAAATATAAATATATGGCTATAAAAAGAATAAACGGTTATAAAAAGAAATGTATGGTAACACTTAATACTGTATCTAAAGATATACTGCAAGAGATATTTAAAAATTTTGAAATTGTCAGGTTATAGATTTGTGAACCAGAAACTATACGATCAGATAATACTACGACTGATGCGATAATTTCAAGTGAAATGATGAGAACAGATGAGTACGTATAGTTATCATGGAAAAAGTTAAAATAAATTTTTTATTCTGGCTTTCCCTGGTTATCACTGTTCATTATATGGGAGAATAAAATAATAATAAAAAAAAAATTAGAAGTGTTTATAATAAACACTGAGCCCTAAAGTTGATAAACAAATTAGATTTTATTTATAATCTCTTAGATTTTATCTATTCTCAATCAATCGGAAGTGGTAGTTTACTTAAAGTTCCTTGCCAGTCTCCCAGTTCCATACCAATTGATGGGAGGTCATATGTTGACCACATAAAATTTTTTAACAATGCTAATGTAATTTCTTAAGTTAGTATCATTTCACATTTCTTTGCTTAATATTAGTATGTAATTTTATGCTTCTTTAACTTTTTTTTAATCGTCACCATTTTAAAATAAAATTCAAAAGTTTTTGTAAAGCTCATATAAATAAATAAATATGTGCTAATTAATTGTTTAAAGTCTTTTTAAATGTGAAAAATAACGAGAAAAACTGGCTTAATTTTGCATGATTAGTGTTTCATGAACAAATGCATTGCTGTCTGGTATATATGCATAATTTATTGCATTATTAAACTTCATATAATAAAATTATTACCATAATTGCAAAAAGCTTTGTATCATTACTTTCTATTTTATCATGAAAATGTCTTTTGTCATCCTCTCTGAATTAATTATTCATTAAGCCCTATCCTAACAAATTTTTAATCATAAAAATTTGCACTTAAGCAATGTAACGCGGTATCTCAAATTAATAAAATTAATAAGGATATATATATGGAAGCACTTTTCTCTTTAGATACGACATCATTAGTGCAATGCAAAATTTTCTTAATTTTTATTTATTGAAGAGTGAGGGAGGGAGGGGAAAAAGTATTCATCATTTTTCGCAAACACTATCGTGGGAATAAAAAAGAAGAACCTCATTCCACTAATGAAAAATTAAAATTAAAAAAAGGAATCGAAAAGAAGAGAGTAATGGCGGGGGGGGGGAAGGTATGTCTATAAACGCGAGTAAAATATTCTTGCATTGCCTGTAAATTAATCTTGCATTTGGGCTCTGCTGTCCGCAGGTGATGAAGAAATAATTAAATCAGTTTTCCTTCACGGTAAGAGGAAATAAAACGAAGAAAAAGGCTGAAAAAAAAAATGTAAGTGAAATAAAAAAAAAATGTGAACGAAGGCGAACTAATGAATAAATATTAGATGCAGCAAAGAGTCGGGGGGAGGGAAAATCCTTAGAAAGGGGAAAAAAATTACTCCGTTAGATGCGAGCTCTAAAGTAATGGAAATTAAAATCAATAGCTTCATTAACTCTACTGATGTATGGATAGCTGTGTGTCGGGGAAGGAGATTTTTTTCTACCTTTTTTGGGGCTCTTGGAGTTTTTCATTTTGATTTTTTAATACATTTTTTTCCTCCTCAAGTTCTTTATTTCTTGTTTCGTTTCGCGAAGTCAAAATGTAAAGAGGATTGAAAAAAGTTGTTAGCCAAGGAGGTATGGACTGTGTATGTAATGAAGTCGGGAAGAATTAAAAGAAGAAAAAAAAATGTAATAGCGTGCAATAATGGTGTTGTGCAGATCAGATTGCTGCTAGCCGGAAGAGAAGGGAGAAAAAATTGAAAATGGAATTGTAAGTGGATGTTTTTTCCCCTTCTTCAAATCCCGTTTTTTTATTAACGAATACCAAATGAAGTCACTGCAAAAATAAGGTACTTCCCCTCCTATAACATTTTAATACATTTAAAAGCAACTAAGTTAGTTTTTTTGTACCCTTTAATGTTTTTTAGCTCATCTCCAAAATAACGAAGGATAAAAAAAAAAAAGCTTAGTAATTAACTTCTTTGTACAAGTTATTTTCTCTCTCTTAAAAATTCATCAACGCCTGATTAAAAAGCTAGCTTTTAGGACGTGGTGCTGCGTAATTAAAGGTGTGTTAATTAATAGAGTACTTAAGACATTTATTTCTGTGTCTTTTTTAAGGACTTAAGCCGTGATTTCGGAGTAATCGTCCAGGGTAATTTGTTTAATGTGATAAATGATGTGTCTCGTGTTGTTAATTATGCAACAGCTGCTACATTTAAGCTCATCGCCTTTTTTTTAATTGACTATTTTTTTTTATTGTAAATGAAGATCACTTTCAATGAAAATTATAAGTCTTGGTCTTTCATTTTTGATGAGTCTTTGTGTATTAAAAAGGGCAATGGCTCGTGAATAGCGATTTTTTTTTAATACGTGGGGTAATAAAACAAGAGTTTTTTTTTTTTTTATTTTTTTTTTATTATTATTATTATTGTTGTTTTGTTTTCGTAAAACGTTTAGTTTTATTATCATTTTGCTAACACTAAATTGGTTGGTGATCCTCATTATTGTTTTGAGTTGAAGGTCTATTGTAAACGAGGAAAATTAAAAATCAACAATGGCTCGGATATTTTAACAATGTAGTAATAATCGCAGCTTTTTAACCTCTATTTTGAAGGGTGAAAAAATCTGAATTATTACACTAGACGCCCCTTAATTGTGGTCACGTTTGCCCACCGCTGTTTTGATAACATTAACCGAATGCTTACATTAAACGATGAGAAAAAAATAGCTTTCAAAATAGCAATGACATATAAGTATTCTAATGTGAACACGAGGATCACTCGGAAATTTTTGAGATATTCCAAAGATAAATGACTCAAGCCATTCACTTCTTGGAATCGTGCATTTATAAAAAGTGCATTTATAGCCTCATCAATCTCATCTTCGGAATGAAAACGATGTCCATTTACGTTCTTTTTAAGATTAAATATTGCTGAAAGTCACACATAGCAGGATCGGGTGAATAGGGTGCATGTTCTATCACTTTCCTGCATGTTTCTTCAAGAAACTCAACTGTCAATATTGCTGATTGGGAAAATGTAGCATGAGTCCTCTAACATCCACTTCTTAAAGGATTTCTGGAAGACATTTAGTGGTGTAGCAGTTAGATGTGATTGTCATCTGTCCTGCCAAATTCATGGCTTTGACCAGTTATGTACTTTCTGAAGGAAATGGTATACGTTACTTTTTTCATGGCACGTTGTCTTTTTACCATTGTGGGCGTTCGATAATCTTTAAAGACTCATACTTAACTTTCCTGACGTTTTGGAACGTTAAAAAATGGTATGTTCATTTCATCACCAGTTATGATTTTAGATATAATGTGGTGGTCACCGTCTTTAAGTAATGTAAGGGTTACTTTACCGATTCTGACATGCTCCTCTTTTTGGTACTCAGATGGGGAACCCAACGGCAAACTAGTTTCTTCATATGCAGTTCTTCATGAATAATTGTATGTATGACGGCAGATGGAATGTTATTTTCCTTCTGTATTATTTGGTTGGTGCAGCAATTATCATCGCTTAATGTTCTCCATACGGCAGACGCATTATCCGGGATGACTCTTGACAACGGCTTTCCTTGTGTGTTGTTCATCCTGAAGAGATTTGCGACGTCTGTGAAATTCTGTAAACTATCTGAATACAGTAGCACGAGATGGACCTTCATTTCCAAATGCTAAATGTAGATGCTGAACGCATTCTTCTTGCTTTAATCCCACTTTAAAATCATGGCGCGATAATGTTCTCGCGTCAACTCCATTTTTCTTCCGCCTAAAGTTTATTCTACGCTAAACTACTTGCAAGTTGGCCAATGAAAAGTCGTCTGTTAGCTTGCTCCCACTTTTCGTCTGCGCGTATCTCAAAAATAGATAGACCTCCGTATAACTAGTAGAACACATAAGCTGCCATTTTCACGGCATTTTAATTAGTTACATTTGGCCTATGCTGTACACCTAATCTTAATACTCGGAGTGCATACCTCATTGCAATAGAACGCAAAAGTAACCTTAGTTCGGCATAGATGTTTTGAGGGAGGGAATGATCACATTTGGCGACGTCTGCTTTACTTTAAATGTCTCTGTTTCTTATCTGAAATTTCGTTCATGTCTGGTAATGTAATTTGATATGCCAGGAACAAGAAATTTAATAGTTTTCTTACTGTTGTAACCAATTAACATTATAAGGGTCTTTTTTTTTTGGCACAGCATTAATTGTACTAAAGTACTAATTGTAATTATTTTAAACCGTATATATTTTTGTTTCTTCTGTAGTTGATCGGAACGATGAAGCGTCCTACCCCAGAACCCGTCGACACAACTGTTCCAAAAGTCACCAAAAAACCCAAGGCTCAGAAGAAAAAGAAAAAGCGAGATCCTAACGAACCACAAAAGTAAGTAATTTGCTGTCTATTAGACTTTGCTATTGCCCTGAAATCAGAATTTGCTTTCTTTTTTCATCCCCCCCAAATGTCTTGGTAAATTCGAAATAAGGATAAAAAATGTTCTTGCTAGAGTGCATACATAGAGCGTTCCATCTAAAATGAGAGTATTTTTACCTGGAGTGGGCAGCAGTAGAATGTGAAAAGTACAGAAAATTGCTGACTTAAAGAAGAATCTTTGGCAAGAATTGAAGAGCTTGCAGCGAGAAGGGTCCAGCTGCACTTTTGGTAGATTTGTGTTCATGGGCCTTTTAAGTTTAAAAAAAAAAAAAAAAAAAAACGTTTTATGCATTGGAGAAGCCGTAAAATCATTTTTACTACAGGGTGGCCCAGAAGTCACTTTACATTTTGAAAATTAAATAACTTTTTCTTAAATGACTGTATTTAATTAATTCTTTTTTATTTTTTGCTTATTCACATGTCCATTCAAATGGAAATGAGCTTCATCTCCCATGATCAACTTGTGAATAAACTCATTGTCATTTCTTGCAGTTCTCTGAAACCTGACAGCATAATTTACTCGTTTCTGAAAGTCTGCTGGTTTTAAAGATTGCACTAATTGAACCTTGAAAACGCGTCACTAAGTTCCTTATTGCAGGCCTACTAGGGGGATGTCGAACATTAAAATGGCGCATATTATTGCGTTGCAACAATTGACCGTCCATTTTCAAAGTAAAATTCAATTATCTTCACTCGTTGTTCTGTTGTAAACTTATCCATGCCAAAAATTTCCAGGATTATATTTTTAATTCTGAAAGAGAAAAAGAAATATATTAATAGAAAAAAAGTTATTTAATTTTCAAAATGTAAAGTGACTTCTGGGCCACCCTTTAGAACTTTTAACGTAAGTTTAAAAATGAATTTCTTTTTAATTTTCTGAAAATTTAAAAATGTGGAGCTGGGCCCTTCTGCAAGTCCTTCAATTATTATGTGCGACGGACGACTCCGTTTTATTTTTAAGTAGCTATTTAACACGTTCGCTGCCATTTACGAGAATGTGTTTCGTAGTTGGCAAACTGGATTTACTTGCCAGCTACAAGATAACTCGTCATTGATCGCCTTGCTGAATGACCAAGTACGATTATTGCTCTGGTAAATGCGTGTAATGTTTAGGTATTTGGCATACAGGAAGGGATGAAATAATGCACTTGGCTTGATGAAATGGATAATCTCAAAACGTAGTTATCAGGTCATTCATTTCTCAAAACTATAACTAAAACTTTACAAATCAAAATTTTGTTTGTTTGCTTATTTATTCTCTTCGGAAATGTTATAAATGGACTGCTGAAATTCTTGTACGCTGATTCGTATAAGACTAATGAAAAATAACGTATCGCTTACGAAGAGTTTTGCGTGAATGCTCAGGAAGGTGAGTGTTGCTTATCTAATTCCGAGTTAGTTGCCACAGGGAAGAAATATTTCATATGGCAACTACGGGTATATTCGTTCACGGGAATTAAGTTGCTATTAAATGTAATCTGTTATATATATATTTAAATAATAAAACAATTCGAAATAATTTATGAGCATGTATGCAGATAGAATCTTGACACGTGTAAACGAACGCACTTAATCACCGTTGGCACTGTAGATCTGTACACTGACTACCAATAAGTATTTGGACACCTATGCAAATGACGATATCTGCAGTCCTAAGGTACGTCACGGACTCCGCCGATATATATCGTGTACGAAACAGCATCGGCTTTAGTCGCATGCAAGATGCCTCGCAGTTCGGAGCTCTCTGATTTCGAGAAAGGTATAATTATCGGGTATCACAAATGTGGCCGATCCTTAAGGGACATATCTAGCGATCTAAAGTACCCAAAATCGACAGTGGCCTATGTGATTAAGAAGTGGAAGGTGAGCGGTGATTGTCGGAATGTGGCCCCGAGTCGGCAGACCAACGAAACTGGAAGATAGAGACCGACGAGTGCTGTCCAGAGAAATTCGGAAGAACCGCACCCAACCGATGGCCCTCATCCGCGAGGAGTTTCAATAGGCATCCGGGAGTATTGCTTCAATGAATACCATCCGTAAGGAAGCACATCTGCTTGGTTTTCATGGTCGTACTGCTGCCCATAAGCCTTTGATCACAAAGTCCAACCGCGCTGCTCGGTTAATGTAGTGCAAAGCACATCGAAATTGGACCGTAGATCAGTGGAAAAGGGTTTTTTGGAGTGACGAATCAAGGTTCACCCTTTACCGTTCGGATGGCAGGGTCTGGGTTTTGGCGTCTACCTGGAGAACGTCTCCTGCCAGAATGCATTGTGCCAACAGTCAAGTTCAGCGGAGGTGGAATTATGGTATGGGGGTGTTTCTCCTGGTATGGGATGGGACCCTTGGTCCCTATTCATGGTAAGCTCAACTCCGATGCCTACTGCACTATTTTGGAGGACAATGTGCTTCCTACGTTGGGGCAGTTCTACGGGTTGGACCCCTGTTACTTTCAGGACGACAATGCCAGTTGTCATGTTTCGACATTAACCAAGGTTTGGTATGGTGCCAATGGAGTTCATCGAATGGACTGGCCTGCCCAGAGTCCAGACCTGAACCCTATGGAGAACCTCTGGGGCGAGTTGCATCGCCGAATTCAGGGGTGCACTACCCGTGGAAAATCGGTGAAGGAACTTCTATGTCTTCTCCAAGCCGAGTGGAAGAAAATACCACTAGCTGTCATACAAAGACTTGTGGAAAGTAAGCCCTGGAGGATCCACGCTGTAATTACCTCTCGTGGAGGCTCTACCAACTATTGATTTTGAATAAAGTTAGTTTTTCTTTTCTATCACAGGTCTCCAAATACTTATTGGTAGTCAGTGTATATATAAAGAAGAACGTTGTTTGTTCGCTAATAACTCAGTCACTACTATAGTTATCGTCACCAAACTTTTTACTATAATTTTCTGGGTCCTGGAAAAGGTCGACATCCTCTTCTCCCCCCCCAAAAAGTAGCTAAATTTAGAGATATTAATTAAAAACTCGGAAAAACAATAATTTTCACCCTCGTTCTTCCGCAACAGTCTAGCACGCTGGAGATGAAAATCTGCTTTATTTCCAAACTTGTTGCCACTACTCGCTTTCAAATCCTAGAGTTTGTTAATAAAAATTTTCTAGGTTTTACGATGAAATAAAAATAGTCATTTCTCCGTGTGGCAACAGTTTCGCACGTGGGAGACAAGAATGCTTTATTTCAAAAAGTGTTGCTACTGCTGGCTTTTAAATAAGTTTGTTAATAAAAAATTCTCAAGTTTTACAAAATCTGCATATATATAAAGAAGAATGTGTGCTTGTTCGCGTATTGATTTCCGATCAATTATGATCCAATTTTTTCCACATTTAATCGACTATAATTGAATATAGATGAAATATTGGATGGAACTTCGAGCTTTTACGACCAATTGATTAGAAAGACGAAAATCATTAAAAACTGCGTGCCATTGTTGCTGATATAACGAGAGAGAATTAGTTTATTTTTCCATAAAAATTTTTATGTGGGTTCCATATCGCATCAGACTGAAAAATGTATTGACTGTGAATCGTATTTTTTGCATCGTTATTAGAGAAGGATTATCGTTATCTCTGTTGTTAGGTACATTACTCTCAATCGAACTTAACTGGCATCGGGTACTTCCACTTCCCCCCCCCTCTCTGAAAAACAGCTGATTTAATGGAACAGTCTTACAACGGCAAATATTTAACGAGTCGACTGCTTTCATATACCATCGTGATTTCCTAAAAATAACGGTATTTCATTATTATTACAGCTGCCGTTAGTTATTTAAACGGAGGCAAGATTATTGGCGAATTTTAATTTAGAACATACATAGCAAAGTGCTTACGCCTAAGCGCATTCGAAACAATTTTTATTTAAAATGCGTTTTCGGAATGACTTTATATTTGCCACTCATTTAGAGCAAAATCATTAAATCGCTTACTAAAATGCCAAATAACTGCTCATAGCACCCTCTTTTATCGTTAGTTTTTACGAGCTACATCTGTAACTAACGTATCGTTAGTTGCAGATCTTTTAAAAGTATGTAGTTTTTTTGCATTGCAGTAGGCGCTGCGGGATTCGATCGTTTGTCCAGGACTATTTTGATAACATTAATCGAATTGAAAAATAGTCTTCAGAATATCAGTAGAATTTAGTTAATTTAATACATATATTACTGATATTCGTAGGGTACATCTTATCTCAGAATTTGCTGGAAACTTACCAGCTTTACAGTTTTCTTTTTCAGAAAGTTTATCACGTGATTTTTCTTGGGTTGGTTTCAGAAAACAACTAGGAGATATCTTCCTTTGCCATTGATACTGAAACCTGAAATTTTTCAAATATTTTGGCGCGGAAAAACAAGGTCGGCTAGAATTTCGCTTAGTTATTCTCTAATTCTGATTAATTTAAGTCGATTTTTCTAAAACTTGGAAAACGGATTCTTTTGCATGTTGTAGTCGTAAATTTAAATGGCGATATATATCTTTGCCCCATTTCGCGATTTCTGTATTCTGTTTTGACCTATTTGGCGATTTTATTTCACTTTAAGTAACTTTTTCTGCGATATTTTCATCCTATTAACCGACCTAATAGTATTTTATACGATTTCGTCCACAAACGGGCGAGACTAAAACAATTCAATAACAATAACCGAATGATAACATCAACCGCGATCACAAAGCAGCAACTTAACACACTGTTCAAGAGATTGTAGAATTCAGCTGCTAATTAAGTAATTAACTATGGGTACTTACGTATTATCTCGTCGACCGTTGGTGGAAATTTTGGCAACGGTCACCAATCGCCAGTCGTTACTGCAGAATTCTAAAGCAAGTAGTCATCGCTAATTGGCGCTAAATCACGCTATTTGGCTCGTCGACGGGATAAGTACCTGATTTACATCCCTTTGTTTAAAGATTTTATACTTTTTATGTGTGTTTTCTGAAGGGTATATGTT